TACAAAATATATATATGTGTATATATATGTGTATGTATGGTCATGTGTATGTTGTGTGTAGAAAACCCGAACCCCGTACCGTTCAAGAAAAACGTAAAACAGCCAACCTCACCAAAAAAAAAAAAAAAAAAAGGCAAACCCAACACCCCCCAAAGAGCCAACATATATATAGAAAAGGTAACTGCTTCAGCTGCGGCTGCTGCGCTGCGCTGCATTTTGGCTTCTTTGCATGGGAGTATTTAACTATCCCTGACCTACTGGCTTTGCAGTTGACATAGTTTAATTCCGCAGTCGCAGCAGTCGGCAAATAAATAGCATTTCACATTTCGCTTAGACGTAGTACACATGCTCCTCCCTGCCCCTCGCTCATTCCCTTCCCCTCGTGCCCTCTCACACATGCCTAGCATGCACCGCCTGCATGCATTAGAGACTTAGTTTTAGTTTTCTAATATTGCATTACAAATAGATATATATATATATATACAATATATATGCAATATAAATAAATAATTTCAACTAACTTCAAACGTAAACATTTCATGTTGCTTGCCCAACAAATTCGCCGAATTTGGAAAACGCTCTCTGTACAAATTTGCATAACAAACAAATAACAAAAACGCATCATCAACCAACTAAAAATAACAACTAACCAACTAACCAAAATAAAAATTAAAAAAAAAAAACAAAAAACCAACCGCTTCTCTCTCACAACTCTCTCGCTCATCTGTAGTACGTAGACTTGGTGAGTCCTAAAAACTAATTTAAATTTAAGTACTATAAATATTTTGCATTTAATTTCGTAAATTACACAATGARTACATGTGTGTGTGTGCATGTATTCGCCGACTGTAAGTATAAATATTCAATGAATTTGCAATATTCATTTGATTTCCTATTGCGTTTTTGATTTGCAATTGAATTAGTTTAGCCCAAATCCAAGTTACAAAGTGCATTTACATAACTAAATCATGTTCTCTGTGCAAACGTTGTGTATGTATGTGTATGAGAGAGGATGTGTGTATGTGTGTGTGTGTGTGTGTGTGTACAACACATTAGGCTAACATTTGCTAAGTGCTTTGCAACCATAAAGTTGCGTCTTGCGGCCGAGCGAGCGCAGAGAGTTTGCTTGCTTAACTGTGCTCTGAGGCGTATACTTGATGTTAGTTTCAGCTGGGTTGAGTCTCTCTCTCTCTCTCTCTCTCTCTCTCTTTCTCTCTCTCTTTCTTGCTGTGTGTATCTTCCTTGGTCCTAGGCCGAAGCAATGACTATATCATGATAAGTCTGTCCACACACAGAGGCGGACAAGCGACATCTTCATTTGACGCTTTCCAGTTGCTCGTAATAACAGAACACACATAAACCATCATCTGCACTCGACTTTAATGACCAGTGTGACCTGCAAATAACAGCGAAGACAAGCAATGAAATTGAGTCAAGCATAGCCTGGAGATACCCTGTATATCGTATATATATGTATATGTGGGTTGATTTACTTTTGCGTTATCTTTATATTCCCATATCTCTTATTGTTCCTTTAGCGGAAAGAGGCTTGATCCCCTGACTTTAAATTGTTCATCTCTCGCTGAATCTTCTGCTCCCCTCACTTTGCGTATCTCTCCCTTTCTCTCTCTGTCTTGCTATTCTCTCTATCCTCTATGTGTATTTTTCTAACTCTTTCCATCTAACTCTATCTCTTTCTATCTACCTATAAATGTCTCTCTGTCTCTTTCTCTCTCTCTCTCTCTCTCTCTCTCTCTCTCTTTATCTCAATATGCCTATCTCTCTCTCTCTAGCTCTGTCTCTCAATCTCTAGAGAGATTCTCTCATACTCATAATTCTTGAATCCTTCTGCCCATTCTTACTATCCCACCCTCAATCCCTCTCCTTCTCGCCCATCATGTTTGTATTCATTTTTTTCTCGGTCTCTCTCAATTAATATTTCATTTCTGTTTCTCTTTGTTCACCTGTCATGCTCATTTCTCTTTTTCCTCTTTCCCTGAGTAACCAATCAACTCTGTTGACAAGTTTATGCCAGGGTATCACAAAGCTGACAATGCACAACAGAATGTTCGAGCATTTTTCATCATTAGGTAATTAAAGCCTGTCCTTTGGGCCTCGCCCTTGCCTCAGCTCTCAATGCCCCCAATGCCCCATCCGTTCGACTATTTAGGTCTCTAATTTAGCATCAAGTTGGATTCTAGCAGCTGGCAGCTGGCAGTTGGCAGCTGATACTCTTGTCCACTCATTTCGCAGCGAACGCAACGAAACCAAAAGTAAAACAAATAAATTGCAGGCTAAACAAAACACAGGCCAACAAACAGATGGCCAAAATAAAAGAAATTAAAATTGTGAGACGTTCCACGGCGCTCGTTCCACGTTCCACTTTGTTGACCCGCTAACCCCTCGCCCACCCTCTCTCACTCTATCTATCTCTCGCTTTTCTTTACTCTGTCAACTGCGGCCGCAAAGACAAACACAAAGCGCAGCCAAGGCTCGGCCCGTGGCGTTGGCTGCCAACCAATCGAGCACCAAGAAGGAACGGCTAGATGGCACAGCACAGCGTCTAGTTCAATGCACCGACTGACTCAAGGGGGCAGAGCCTTGGCAAAACTTAAGAAAAGCGGCTAAGCCTCAAATACAAAATGAAAAAAAAAAAAAAAAAAAAATGAAAAAAAAAAAAACAATCAAGCACACACTGTATAATACTATATACCCACTTGCATTTAGCTGCAAAACTTTTCGTCGGCTTTTTCACTTAGTCTTCCGTTTAGCTTTCCCACTCTCCCTCTGTCTCACTCTCTCTCTCTTTCTCTCTCTCTCTCTCTCATTCTCGAGATGTGCCAGCAAATATCTGGTCTGGCTGGGCAGTCGCTTATGAATTTCCCAGATAAACGACAGTCATTTTTTATCTTTTATGTCATGCTTAGATTCGAATATTTTATTATATTTGATTTTGCCTAATACCCAGCAATAAAAACTTGTTAAAGGCTAGACAAGAAGTAAGTGCTAAAATAATATATGAAAATGGATGTGTGTGGAAAAAGGCGAGAGAAAGAAGAATGAATTTATTATTGCTGGAGAAAAAACCGGAAAACTATTCAGAGTTTCTTAACAAAATATTTTCTTATAAATTTGCAGAGTTATCTCAATCTTGAAAATATGTTTTGGCTATCAAATTTAGTCTTTAAATTATCAATATATAAAGATATATAATATCACATTTTAGTCATTTTTTTTATTTTTTTTTTCATTTCTTCTACTATTTATGTGGTATGTTCTAGTCGTTCATTTCGGCTCTTTGTTGGCAGTGGCTCTCACTTGGCAAATGCTTTAAATTTGAAGCAGGCTTCAGGCACACAAATTGTTCACAACTTTTGGCTGCTCGAAAGTTGCGATTTAGATATAGATGGAATTTGTAGAAATTTTGAAGTGTTACGAAAGTGAACTCTGAGGGAAGAAACCATTGAAGCAATTGCAATTGCTCAATGCAAGAGGTATTTGAATGGCATTCAAAATGTAAAAAGTATGCGAATCCAAAAAGCATTTAAATGGCATTTAAGTATCTACACATAGTCTAAATATAAATAAAAATATTTAAAATATTCTCTTATGCTTTAGTTGGCATTTAGATTTATAAAAATAAGTTTAAAATAAACTTGTATGTATTTAAATATTTTTAATATATTCTCTTAGATGTTTTGCCTTCTTGTAAAACTTTTTAGCTGAAAAGATTTTGCTTTGATTAATGCGCGGCTTGTTTTAAATGCCGGCTTAAAAGCCCTTATTAATTAATGTCCTATTTCAGAGGCAGACTGCAGTCTGCCGTCCAGAGTCGAGCCGCGTTGAGTTCAGTTTGCTAAGCTGCTGCCATTTTAGCTGCCATTAAAGCGCAATAATAGGCTCTGCCAGTGTTAGTCAACGTCTTCAGCTGGCAGCTGGCCAAGCGTTGACAATATGGCCAAAGTGGCCTGCGCCACTATCTGTGTCTGCTCTTCCAACCGGCCGTCTGTCCGTTCGTCTGTCCGTTTGTCTGTATCTGTCTCCGTCTGAACACAATGGAGCAAAGCATAGAGAATGACGCATTTGGGTGCAAGTGGCATGTGGCCTCATGCGGAAGTTGTTAATTTGACGCACAAAAGGCGTCGTTGTTGAGCACCAAAATGGGCACAAGTGGCGCCTCGGTGCAACAGGGCGTATACGTAATTACTCCTAGACTGACGTATATTACACAGAGCTGCACAGTCATAGTAGTGTCTATAGCTGTAGCTGTAGCTGTGTATCGACTGTGCCGTCCACGTTAACGTGCAACTTGTTGCCATGGCAAGCATAGGTCAACACTGGACAGCGCCATATCCAATAAGATTGTGCCAATAAAGACTGCGCAGTTTATTGGCAAATGCATTCAGCAGAAATGGACAAATAAAATGGAAACTCAGGTGATTCAGGTGGTGGCACGTAGCCTTTGCCGGCTGGCAGACAGACAGTCCGGCTGTCCGGTTGTTCAGCTGTCCGGTAAATGGCCACAGCACAAACAACTAATTAAAGTAATTTATTCTAATTGCACGAGCATTTTTTGCTCGTTATCCTTAATGTAATGGAGCTGCGGACAATCTGTTGGTATTTACATTTCTACATTTGTCTTTCTTTCAATGGTTTATAAAAAGGTTTCTCTGTTTTAATGTGTGGGTTTTTATTGAATTTTAAATAAATTAAATTATGTTTAATGGCAATAAATATTAATTCATTATACTGCATTCATTATAGTTCGAAATGAGAACTCTTGAATGCTAATTTTTACATTTCAATGTGTTATTTAAAATAAATAAATATTATTGAAACAAATAATTAATAAAATCAAAAAGTCTATATTTCTCAGTCTCTAATTGTCTATCGCTGGTTCTCTCTGTCTCCCTCTCTTTCTCTGTCTCTCTTTATACAATATCTTTGCCTCGCTCTGTCTCTCTGGCTACCTTTCTCTCTCGCTTTCTGTATCTCTATCTCGCTCTCTCTCTCTCTCTCTCTCTCTCTCTCCCTCATCAACTCTCTATCTTTGTCATTCACTATATCTGTATTGTCTCTCTTTCGTTATATTTATCTATCTCTCTCGTTATTGTTTTCTCTCTCCCTCTCTCTCTCTTTCTCTCGTTCTCTCCTTATCTTTCTCTTCCTCTTCTCGCTCTGTCTCTCTTTCTTCGTCTCGTTATCTTTGCCCTCTATTGCATTATCTCTGTCTCTCATGCACTATATTTGTATCTCTTTCCATTTCTTTGTCTATCTGTATTCACCCTCCTTACTATCTCCATCTCCATCTCCATCTCCGTCTCTCTCTTTCTCTCTCTCTTTTTCCCTACCTCTTTTATTATCTCAATAATGTCTTAGGCGGATGTCTACGCAGTCTACTTTAATATTGAAATGGGTCTATAAGCAATTTAACTTTAACAATTGTATGCTCAGGTGCCACTTAAATAAATACCTTGTTATTTACACTAAGTTTCTCAAGTTCACTCAACGCCTGCTAAAGAATAAAATAAAAACGCTGCTACTTAAATATTTACAATTCAATTTTTGAGCAGGCACAACGATAACGAGTCGACAGCGGGCTCTCAAATGTATACAGAGGTGGATTGCAGTGGCGTATTATGAAATATTCAGGCTTATGCAAGCATGTAAATGCCAACAACGGAGGAGAGACGAAGACAGTCAGGGAGAGTAAGAGAGACTAGGAAAGGGAGAGAAAGCGAGAGAGAGGGAAATAGAGTCAAGAGTCTTTGCATGACTTTCACTTGCTGTGCCTGCCCACGGGAGCAACCGGTTGAAAGTCAAAATACTTTCAGCTCTGTGTGTCCTAAGAACATGCACAAAATGGCCTACTTGCCTCTTGCCACCTGCCACCAGCCACCAGCAACTTGGCCTGGCTTTTACTTGACTTTTGTGACCAAGTCCAAGTCGAACATAATGAAGCATGCCGAAGCGGGCGGTGCGGCATGCCGCAAGGTTCGCTTACAATTACAGTTGCTCGGCTCTCAGTTAATGTGGCTTATGCCATTCTCATCTATCGTATCGTATAGATAAACGAGTAGATATACATATACATATATATATAGGTGCATATAGGTACACCACATCGTATCTAGCTCGAGGTTGATAGAAAGACACAAAAGCTGCTTTTGGCATTTAACATAACCGAGAGGCTGTCTTCCGCTTTTTTGCGACAGTGCATATCCTGCATCCTTGAGCTCAAAACGTATGGCCGCGCGTGCAGCCAAATCTTCGCAAGGGAAACGTTCTATGCATTCGAGCTATTAACATGTCCATAGCTGTCCAATTCCGCAAATTGGTCGTTCATCAAAGTACCAGGAGACCCCCCCCCCCCCCSCCGTCCCACCCTCCAACCCTTCGTTCGTTCAGCCATTGTACGTGACCAACGAGCGGACAGAGCGCACTGCACATTACGCAAAACCTGAGCAGGACATGCAATGTTTGAGCATGGGGCTATTTGAGGGCTACTCGGCACCCTACCTATGTAGGCAATAAATAAATTAAATAACACTAGAGTTCAGTTCAGTTGGGACTCGTCTATAAACAAAGCTGGTGGTCAGCGCACGGCGAACGCTGCAGCGGCAACAAAGCAAACGCTTTCAAGTGCATTAAATAAACTTAAAAAAAAATAAATAAAATAAAATAAAATAAAATAATATAAACGTACAAAATTTAATTAAAAACAAAAACAAAATATTCATATGAAAACAAAGTGAACGAAACTTCGACGCTCGGCAGCCTACAATTTAATTTTGTTTAAATTAGTTTCTGCCTGGTTTTTGCCTGCACATGAGCACGAACAGCCGCAGCAGTCAGGCGATTCTGAGTAAGCGAAACTGTTGTGGGCTTTAATTAGAGTTATGTTTAATGATACAGCATAGGCTCGCTTAAAGGGAGTTATTCAAATGAGCCAATGAGTTTATTCAGTGATTTCTATGCTCTCAATTCAATTGAACTGAAACAGTTAATGAATTGAGGACTTGTTTAGCTATTGATTAAACTAATTGCATAAACTGCAACGATTGTGACCCATAAATCGTTCATTTCATGCTGCAATAACTGATTTACTGAGCCGCACGAGCCCTGCCTGCAACGACAGATTAACAAAACCGAACTAGAATTCCCAGCTCTGGCTGCATTTGTGTTTATGGAATTGCCTTTGTTGCTGTGCTCATTTAAATAAATTGCGAGTGCATTCGTACTCAAAGTTTGTGTGGGGCACTGAAAGTTTTTAATAGAGTTCTTGGCTTGTAAAGCATTCGAGCGTTGCTTAAAGCGCAACTTAAATAAACGAAAAGTTTTCGGAGCAACTTTCTGTTGCGGCAACTTGTGGCAATTAGCACTGGCTCTATAAGGAGAAATACATACATACGCACATACGTATTTATCTATGTTTAAACACACAAATTGTTCACTGATTGCACCACAAAAATCTGCACATTCAATTGCAATTACKATTGCAATTGCAAATTGAAATTGAAATTGAGATTGAAATCGGAAACGGCCTCAAGATATCGGACCGCACGGATAGTCTGTGGCAGTCGACAGCTGCCAGCATGCCAGCGGCAGTTGGCCAGCAGCGGCATGCAGCACGATCTATGCAACAGCAACAATTCATGCCACACCACCAGCTTCAGCACCAGCACCAGCACCAGCGCACCGCCAACGGCCAACGTGCCAACACCATATCGAGCAACTATAACAACAAAATGCAGCTGAACAGCAATCACAGCAGCCAGCGCGAGATAAGTGCGTCGCCACGTCGCGTGGCACTCGATACAACGGCCTCTGGGTCGACGACAGGCTTTGGTTTTAGTCGAGGTAAGCTGTGCATGCAAACCGACTCAATTAGCCAAGAGTTCAGCTTTGAGCTAGAGAGAAGTAAAGATCATATCTCTGATACATAGTTGCGGAAAGAAAGTGAATAATCAAATTTGGAAGATTTCCAATTGAATGAAGTTTGTGTTTGTACTTAGGCGAGAGGGGAAATAGAGAGAAAGAAAGATACAGAGAAAAGATAGCAGAGAATAGTCATTGATTAATAAAAAGAACGTATTAGTTATTTACCTGAGTTGGAGAGAGATAGATTATTTATGTGTGTGAGGGAGAAAAAGTTATTATGAGTGGGAGAGAGTAATTATGTGTGGGAGCCTAACAGACTAGTTGTGTGTGGGAGCGTGATAGAGCATTAGTGTGTGGAAGAGTGATGGGTTATAGTAGAGTTGTGTGTAGAAGGTAAATACAGTAGTTATATTACTATTATAGCTACTCGTGACAGAGGTAGTAGAACTTAGGACAGAGTGAAAGAGAGACAGATTATAGCTTGACAGAGACTGAGAGTTACTACACTTACTGCTGTAAGTAGTCAATATTTAAGTATATACCACAGAGTGAGTAGTGAGTCGTGCTTCTATGAGTATTAGAGCATATGCAAGAGATAGTAACCAATAAACTTTAGGTCTAACTCGGCTCTCATAACTATATACCTACAACTGTGTGAGTAGACTATGACTATATACCTCACTCTGTGTGAATAGAAGTGAGTACTGTTTAATTACGTAGGGGCGTCACCTTTCTCAGAGTAAACAAGTAAACAAGCTCTGAGTATGTCATATACTTTAGTTAGCTGAGCAAGCATTAGAGTGAACAAAAGTAAACCCAGCTCTTTTTGGGGGAAAGTTGGAGTACATACATGTAATTCCTGCGTTAAAGAGAGTAGTTTTATCAAATTACATGAGAAGTGAATAGCAATGAGTAGTAACTATTTAAGTTCAACCTATATCCTACACCAACATATATCAGCTATTGTGCTTGCCTGTTCAAGTAAATACAATATGTATTAAAGTTGGTATATATATGTAAAAAAGCGACTAGTTTAGGGTGAAAATATCTTATGAGTAAATCCATTTCCTACTCCAGTGAATACAATATGTATTGTAGTTGATATATAGATATACAAACGAGACTAGTTTAGGGTAAAAATATTTTTTGTGTAATTTCAAACAATTTGCTGATTCAACTATTCATTACGGCAACTGTATGAAAATTTGTATTTTTTGCCTAATGCCAATTTGGCCAATTGTTGTCTAGCTGTACTCTATTTGCCTCTAATAAAGGAGATATTAAGCGATCTCAAGGGTCATAATCACAAGGCATGAGTATGGCAAACGCATGCCAAATAAGTAGGTGAAGTACACATAATTGAAGTACATAAGCTGCACAAATTTTGCGTATGAGTAGTTACATAGTAGAATAGCTCTCAAATATGTCAAGTAGTTAAAATTTATTAGGCGACAGAGAGGTTGAATGATGAAGATTATCGTAGAGTAGAAG